CTCTGCTCAGGTTCACCTAGTAACCTGTACAAAAGTTGGAGAGGTTGGGAGGTAGGAATAAATCTTTTTGGGGTAGTCATTTGCTGCATTTAATGAGCTCTTGGGAACCTAGATCGTGTATTCTATTCAGTTTACTTTGATAATTATAATGTATTCTTTTCAGTTGGGTTATTCAGTACCCAAAAATTAGTCCTGGTTTTAATTCTTTCTTAGTTTACTAGTCATCCCCAAGCTACCCTGTGGAAGGCAGGGTTAAGGTGCATCAGTGTGCAAGTGGAGTATTTTAGATTGGTGCTTAAAGTGTTTTTATCAATCAGTTGTATTTCATATGAAACCATGACTGGAAAATTAATCATATAATCCATTCCTTCTCTCCCAGCAACAACAACAGAAAGGCTGCAGCTCATTTATTTGTCAACAAATTGACATACGTTGTGTGTTGCACAATACGTTTTTCAGATTATGTCATAATGTTTTGTGGAAAAAAAAATAAACAAACACTAAAAAAACAACTGTAAAAACAAAACAAATCCAAAATGCAGGTTGTTCTGACCTGTATGGAGACAACTCATGACTCTATTCCATATAAGCAAGATTCAACCATAGTATGAAACATAGACTAGAGGCATTCCCTTTATACCTCACACAAAACGACTTTTATTCAAAGGCCCTACATGAAAATCAGTCCTAAAAATCCTCCTGAAAAAAAAAAAACAAACCAACTTCATACTTATTTTTATAATGAGTAAACAAATATGTAAGAAAATGAAGGAAGTATACCTTCTAATAGAATGCTATGCACAGATTGGTTGGCTAGCACTGGCCTTATGCCAGTATGGTATGTAATGAAATGCAGAATGATGTCAGATCACTAGCTCAGCCTAGAACTACTTTTTGGCACAGAACTTCTGATAAGCTAGTCAATATGTATTACTTCCAAATGCAACCAGTTTCATGTGATCTAGCTGAACTGTTTTTCCAGGGTGTTTCAGTTCCAGGATTAAATTCCCAAAATCTGTACCTCCCCTAAATAACTTGTCTAAATGTGAAAATTACAGAAGTAGAATTGGAAATGTCTACTCCTGGATGTTGACATAGCCATTGCATAGCCCATTTTTCCTTATTTTATTGTGCCATGAAAAAAGGTTAGAATTACATTATTTTCTAGAACTTCAAAAAGGGGAGAAAAGGACCATCTAATCTCCAGTTAAACTCTTACAGTATTTGGTTCTGCTCCTAATTCTATAGCAGTCAGCAGGTAAGGATTTTCAAAGTATTGGTTCCCAGATTTTAGGACTTATGCTCTGTTTCCCTGTACCTGATACTAACTATATGAACTGGAAAGTGGAAAAAATCTCTTCCATAATACAAAGGAGAGTCTGGATAATTGGGAAGTACAAGTTAATTGTGAACGTAATTGCAATTCTTGTGGATAATTGCAATCGTAAGTCAAGAAAGACAGCTTCTAACAGTTGGGTCAGGTTTTTAATTTTGTGATCTAAATTATTAATGAGAATATTTCCATAAGCTTTCTGCATAAAAATTGACTTCATAACACAGAGGTCATCTGGTCTTGTCTTCTAGCCTTTATGATTATCGGTGGTAATCAGGAACCATTTTCCCATAAATGGGTGCTTCTTTTATGCCTCCTGACATACATACCAAATGTAGGTGGTGAATTACTTAGAAGCTTTATGAAGGAAAAATAAATTCTGTAGGTTCTAGTTAGAATTAAATTATACTATGCATGTAGGATTCAGAAACATGAAGGGTTAAATGGCAAGTGTACACAGGAATGGTATTAGGTTGGGGTTTTTTTGGGGGAGCGGGGGGCGGGGCTGTGATTTAACACCTTGGGAATCTTGAAAGCCATACTGAGTCAATTATGGAAAGCCCATTACAACCTGCTTTTCATAGTGTGACTGCAGTCAGACAAAATGGCATGATGCATAAAGAAGACAAACAGATCAGTACAAGAATGCATAATGCTATTGCGCAAATACAGTGTTTCCACATCTGATGGACAGCTATGTTGAACACAATATATCTTGAAAGTGGTACAGTGGGTAATATAAGAGGACTTGAAGCAAGTGGTGAGGCTGATTAGGACTATAAAGATTTTTATAAGAGGAGACTAAAAGGTTGAGATTATTTATACAGAAGCTAGATTGGAAACTTCTATAACCTGCCTCCTAAAGCAAGATTTAAGAGCATATCCAGTACCATCAAAAAGAATAAATTCAAAACAGATAAACAAGATTTTTTTTGTTTTCACCTAAAACACAAAGAAATGACAGAATTCAAAGTAGAAGGAGTGAAATTTAAGATGATTCAGAAAGACATTTGACACCTTCCTCAACAAGAATTATAAATAATAACCATATTGGGTTTTAGAAAAAAGAAAAAGTGATGCCTATGGCAAACACATGCTTTTAATGTAATAGTTTATTGCATCTTCCTGTGATGTATCTTGACTGGCCAGCATTAGAAATATTGAGTAAGAGTCAGGATATCGGGTAAAATGGACAATTATTTTTATTCAGGATGACATTTTTTCTTCCTATTGCAATCTGAATTAATTTTTTATCATTTTGCTCTATTTGTCAAGAAAAAAGAATGAATGGTAGCTTTGATTTCCTTCTGTCCCCAGAAAGTAGGAGTCATGGTCCTCTTTCAGAGACTCAAAGGGTCAAATATTTTGAAGCATCTTTCACTCACATTTTTGCTTATAATCTATGAACAGCTTGAAGACTATGGTAAATACTTCATTGCACGCTCCTTTTCTGGTATTTCACTACTTTGATAAGTGAGAGATGGTATATTTTACAATTTCAGTGTTTGTCTGGAAACACTTAAAGGATATCTTTTATTCTAAAAACACCCCTTGAAAACTGTTCTGCTTTCAAGTGTCTTAATTTCTGTAATGAGTCAACTATTGGAAGTCTAATAATTCAGAGCTTAATACATTCATAAGAAGTTTGCTTTGAAAAAATTCTGTTACTAAGATTGTCTTCTCTTATTAGTCCAATTTATAGAAAAAAACAGGTTTCAAGCCCAGAATGTAACCATTCTTGATTGGGGCACCTGAGTGCTGATCCAGGATCTGAATTTTGTAGCTACTTTTTCTCCCCAGAGTTTCAAAATTCTAAATCCTATTTGTGGTAGCTGTCAAATTAGCAAGATATGGCTGTGATAAGAACTGCTTAAGGACAGAATTTTTGTTTTATATGATTTTCTGGGAAGAAAAAAATAATTCAGTTGCAGAATTAAAAGAATAAATACTGGAAATATTTTTCACCAGAAATAAAACCAAGAATAATCACTTAATTGGAATCTGATAGAATCAGAGAATACTCAGATTGGAAGACCAGGTCGAGAAAGAGCAGCTTACTCATTGTCTTGTCCAGTCTCATTTTGAGTTTTGGTTCTCACCCTCACAATGAAACTTTTTTTCCTGATATATTAATTCAAAATTTCCCATGGTCCAGCTGGTGTCTGCTGCTTCTTGTTCTTTCCCTGAGTAGAGACTTTGCTCAGTGGTGCCACTGGAGTCCTGGGTGCTGCCAGAGATCTGCTTCTGCTGCCAAGAAGTTCTCTTTATCCCCAGTGCCTCCCGCAAACCCCTCCAAACAGGTCCCCTGCAAATGCAGGTGTGCACATGTGTGCATGTAAGCAAGTTCTGTTAGTCAGTGTTTTCCTCATCATTGCCCCTGAGGGACGGCCCTGGTAACCAACTACTCCTCAGTTGGACCCAGTACCGCTGGTCACATCCTGCAGTGTGGGGCCTCGCAAATCCTTCTTACTCCACTTGCTCTAAGGACACTGTGGGAGACCATGTCACAGGCTTTGTTAGGTCAAAATAAACAGCATACACTGCTCTTCCCTCATTCACTGAACAGTCCTGTATTCATGGCAAACTCTCAGGTGGCACAGTTCAATCTTACCAGTTCTATGTTTATTCCCAGTTTTTTTTTTCATATCCTGTGCTACATAAAAGACAATTAATTTGAGGTGCATGAAAACTCCCATACAAGTAGTTGATAAAATGTAACATGGAAATCCTGCTTAGAGTGGTCTCAATGTATAGAAGGGGAGGTAGTAAGAGAATCCCAAGTGATTATAAAGTATAGTATCTCTTTGAGCACTGTGATAAACAAGGTATTTATTCTTGCTACAGTACAAACACCTGGGGTAGTAAATCTGTCAGACGCTGCTATGCTGTAATGAAGTAAAAAGGCTGAAGTATGTTCAGTCTGGCAAGGCCACAAGAAGCTGGTAATAGCCTGCACATTCCTAGAAAGCATTAGGGTCTAAAATGGAAGTAAAGTGACTGGTGTGGTTCACAAGTGTCTAACAAAGAACGATAAAATGAACTTAGGGGAAAGACTATCAGGAAAATGTCTGGTTATTGAGATGTTAATAAGCTGTGGACCCACTCTTATAGGAATATGAGGGACTGTCCATGAGCTGGGATTATGTGAAAACTGCACTGACTCACATGTTAGAAAATATTATCAGTCCCATATGAGCAGAAGAATAAAGGGGATGCTTTTGTAAGAATCTGTATCACTAGCACTTACGATGTTTGTCATAGTCATTTATCTAGGAGCAAAGGTGGCAATCCAGAAGAAATGGTTGTACCAGTATGAGGACCAAGGGAAAATAAGCATTCTGTACACTTTTAGCTGAGTATGGGGAACTATAGAGATGATGTGTAACTGCATATTGCTTTTTCTTTGTGGGAAGAGTTAATTAGCTGTCCTTAGGAGGTTATATTGTTCCATCCAGGAGAACATTGTTGGTTTATATAGTTTTGTGGGGGGGTTTTGTCTGTTTTTTTTTTCTTTTTTTCTTTTTTTCTTTTTTTTAATCAAAAAGACTATTATGTTCTATATTTGAAAAGGTATCTCATGAAAATTAATTTTATTTTTCTTGTTTGTCAATTTTGTCTTGTTTGTTGTGGTGGGTTTTTTTTTGTGTGTCTCATTTCTCATTTACAGGGGCCTCAAGTGTGCATGGAGTCCATCTTTTTCTTGCACAGATTGTTGCTCTCCTGATGAAGAGGTTTCACCGCACTAGGCGAGACTGGAGAGGAACCCTGTCAAATGTGCTGCTGCCTGTCCTCTTTGTTGCACTGGCAATGGCCTTGTTTAGTGTGAAGCCGCTGGCTATTGATTACCCTTCTCTCAAGCTGACACCAAGACTTTATGACAATGCAGAATCTTTCTTTAGGTAAAGGGCTCATGAATCATCAGCAATATCCAGGATTTGGGGACCTTCACCCTTGAATTCTCATATTTTAAAGACTATTTGTTTTCTAGGAAAAACAATAGGTTACTTTTTACAATAGCTATTTATTTTTCAGATACTTAGTACATTTTTATAGATTATAATGAAGGAGAGATAAAATTAGAAAAACATTATGCAAAGGATTTTCTGAAGGAAAGAGCAAAGACTCTGGATCAGTTTGAACTGGGTAACTGTTTCAATACCAGCCATGGCCATTTATATGTAAATGCACAAGTGTATTTAAACAAGCCTTTGCATGCTTCATTTTAACTAATTGCTTAGCAATTTTCAAGTGCATATCACATGTAGATCACTTTCTCTACAGGACAAATATCCAGTAGGTATCATCGTAAACATAACATGATCATGATGCTGTTCGAATTTATAAATGAAACATAAAAACTCTTAAGCATGCTAACTGTTAGGAATGCATGTTTATAAAGAGAAAGATAGCCATGGGGAGATACTGAGATTTGTTTAAATATAATTGTATTGAATTTCTTTACATGTTCACATATAGTCAGTGAAATGAGTTCAGTTTGCTGTCTTGATATGTTTCCTATATGTGGATTTTATAGTTCTTTAATTTGTTGGTAAACATGTAGGATCTTGAGCCTGAAAGTTAACAGAACTAGACATATTAACATGGGAGTTTTTGTTTTTGTTTTATTTTTTCCCTCCTTCCCCCTTCCCTCACTGTGGCTCACTTTGGACAGCACTGAAGATGATCTAGGGAACCTTTCCCAGAATCTACTGAGATATTTCTTTGATTGGGACCACACATGCATGCATTCAAAACAAGGGTAACTGTGAATAACATAATTACTTCCTTAATTGTAAATTTTAAATACTGTAAATTCAATATTTCTGTGTAACATGGATGAGCTTTTCTAGGCACCATGAGGTTAATGACAAATCTGTTCTGTTGAAGGAGCTGGCACCCAGGCAAAGTAGGCTTCATTATTAAAGTTGTGATCCAATCCTTTAAAAGTCAGTTTCTGATTAATTTCAGAAGGATTTTGATCAAGTCTTGTGTCCATATGAATGAATGTTAGACAATAATGACAATATTTGTTAGGAAGCATTCCAGATTTCCAAATTCAGGAATGCAGAGTGGTGGCTGTGCATTACTTATTGCTGCAAACACAAAGCATGCAGCTTGTCTGCTGTTTTATAAATATTTTTAGTGAATCCACTTTGGTACAAATGAGTAAAATTGAGATAGCTTTAGACACAGCTGCCCTTTTGACGAAATGCTAAGAAGACATTAAGATGCCAGATCTGCTTGTTATTCTTTGGATTTCTTCTGTTAAGTAATACATTCCTTTTATTTAATGTTTGCTCATATTGTTATGTTTATTCCCATTAGAAAAAACAATTCATGTTGGCAGATGGAATCTATGTCACCCCAGGATTCATGTGGATGTGTGACTGAACAAGAGGTATATTATTTCATATTTACTTATGTACATAAAATCTAGGTGTGTGTATATTACATGCAACAATTTGACTCTTCTTTTTGTAGAGCTAAAGAAAAGAATGAGGAAATAAACCCCCAGAGCACTGGCTTTGTTATGACTGGAGATTTTTTTCCATTTCATTTAATGTTTGGGCTAACTGTTCTGAAATCTTTGAGGAAAGCTTGCACAATTCTGATGTACTTACGTGTGTGTATATATGCACTAGAAATGGCTACAGATTGATTTGAAATAACAGAAATCAGAGATGTCTGACCTTATATCAGCAGGTACAGCGTTGCTTCAAATATGTTACAGAACTTTGGTTACCAAAAAAAAATCCTCATGGAAAACAAGTTCAAAACATAATACTTCCATAATATCTGTAAAACTAGTTACTTTCAAAAGGGAAAGGCAGGTGATCCTACCTGATAGAAGCTACCAGGGAATCTACATGTGAATGATATTTAATTGGTAGAGTTTGATTTAGATTTGGATTTCCAATTTGAAAATAAAACAACCTTCGAGGAAAGAAGGGATTTTGAAAAAGGTAACGAATTTCTGACAACCTTGGCTAGTGAGTTTTCCTGATGACTTACTCTGAGGCCGAGTAATAAAAAAGAATGTGAAACTGTCTGAAGTGAGAAATATATTACCCTGGATGGGACCATTCTATCAAATAAGTTCTCTCCTTCATAAAGATATAAATATTTAGACTAAGAGTTGCACCTGAAATATAGGAATACATTTTAAGGAAAAGTGTAAAGAGGAAATGAATTTTTTACTTTGCTGGGCAAGGAACAGATTTGCTTCTAATACTACTGAGATGTATACTTAAAATATGAGAAGCTTAAATAAAATCGAAATGGGAACTCACATAGAGAGAGGCCCATTAACCATGAAAACTCAAAGAGAGAAGTTACTTGACAGTGGAGGCAGAACCTGTATCTGAGCTATGGATATTCAGAATCTCTGAGAGTGAATTTTAATTTGTGTGGGGTTGAGATGTCAAATAAGCATTAACATTTTTCAGTTGATATACATAATCTATAAGGATTCTGAGATACCAGATCATAATATCTGTCTCCTTTTCTTTGGTTGTGAGAATATCCCACTGAATCATTAAAAAACCCATCTTCCTTTATTTTTTGCTGCAGTTCATAAATTAAATTTTTAGAAGCATATTGCTTTAATTAGAATTTTGTTTTAATCTCGTATACATCTGGTGTTTTTTTTCTATTTATTCTTAGGCACAATTGAATGGCAGTCTTGCCTTTTTCATTGCTGTAAATGTTTATAAACTTACATAAATTGTTGATGTTTTCGAAACAAAACTGACTGACAGAGTTGAGAGAAATCAAAGGTGGATCTAATATGTATGTGACACTTGCAATTATTTGAGATGCCTTATAAAACCATACATAATTTACTGAAAAGTTATCGAAGCTGAGGAAGGCAAACCCAGTTGAAAAGCAATGTTGTAAAATCTATGTAAAAATTCAAAAAGATGGCTAAGTGTAGTGCCACTGATAGTTAAGAGTGGTTTTACTGTTTTTCAGATGTGTCTAAGTTTCAATACCTCTGCTCCATATGTGAAGAATAAGAAAGGACATATTTTGTATAATCTTTCAGGGTTTCTTGTAGAAGAATATTTAGTGAGGCCTTCCAAGAAAGCAAGGTAACCTTAAAATACCTAATCTCTATTTATCCTCCTGATAAATCCTTCCTGATCCAAAGCATAGACCTACATCACTGAGAATATAAGGGGTAGTAGGCTTTATCTGTTGGCTATTATCAAGACACAGAGTCAGGCTAAGGTAAAATGGAACCCCATCCATGGTCGCTTCTCAGAGCTTCCTCCAGCAGTTGCATGATAATTGTCTTTAGGCATACCCTGGCTCTCTTGCCACAAAGTGAGTTATTTCAGCTCTCAGAGAAAGAAAATTATATGCATATACAAATTAGATGAACAATATAGTTTCCATTCCTTAGGGACTTGATCCAATAGAGGTAGACATGCTCCAAGTAATCATTTCTTTGAAATAAAAAGGGCTGGTATATCCTTGGCAAGACTTCATATTCTGTGATACCAGCCACAGAGTTTATCCGCTGTATGTTGAGTTTTACTTAAGCGCCTTTGCAGCTCCATTACTGCCTTTGACACAAATGCAAATACTAAACCAATTATGATTTTATCAAGGAGAAGGAAGTGTTAGCTAGAAAAAGTGCATGATTTGAAAAAAATAGTGGTAAACATCTTAGGATGAAAGATTTAAACTAGAATATCATAGAATAGTTTGGGTTGAAGGGACCTTCAAAGGTCATCTAGTCCAACCCTTCTGCAATGAGCAGAGACATCTTCAACTAGATCAGATTAGAACGACATCCAGCCTGGTCTTGAATGTCTCCAGACATCCCATCTAAATGGGAAGAAGTCAAGCTGTTTAAGATGTTTCTGAAAGTCAGTAATACCTCACTTGCTCACAAACCCTGCTGCTACTTGGATTTCAGTTTTCAGAAAGTAAAAATTCTTATCCGAGGGAATTCCTTTGCCAGAAAAAAGCAATACCATTTACCTGATTCAAGAGTCCATTGAGGTCCTCTTTTTTCTTAACATGTAAGGGTTTGTGAGGGATGATGCTTTATTTTCAGTTGAAAAATAAAGCATTAGCATAGATATTCCGGCTTTATCATTGCAAGAAAAGACTGGAAACCTTAAGGCAGATAAAATGTTATTACTTTATTTCCTATTACCAGATATGGTGGTTGGTCTTTTGGAAGGAGAAAAACATTTGAACTTCAAGATAAAAAATTGAACAACAGCAAATCTAAGCATCTGGTTAAGGTGAGAGTTGCATCTATATGTATTCATTTGTGTGTATGTATTGCTTAACTGATTCAGGCGTCAGGTTTCACAGCACCTAGCAAATAATAAATCATTACATAAAATCCCTTCATTTAGAAGTTGGGAGAAAACCCCTCTGTCTATTGTAGTGCACTTCTCTGTTCATAGTTCTTGAAGTATTCTCTGGTGTTCTAAGAAGCAGTTTTAAGTGAATCAGATGATACCACTTTTGTTTTTTCCTGTGAACTTATTTCACAGTCTGAGTTCACCTGTAAAACCTTTTATTTTTTAGTTAGTCAGCCCAGGTATTATTTACCTCCCCCACTCCCCCTCCCTCCCCCGCCTACAAAAAATCAATGTCAGAATTGACAAAAGTTCATTGAACTTCTAAACAATTAGTAATTATAGATACTTTTTACATTCCTGCAAGGAATACTTTCCTACATTTCTCTCCCATCCTGAAGTAAAGATTTAGCTTCTAGGGCTAGTTACTTTTGCATAACAAATATTCTACCCTGTTTTTACAATCTCCTTGTCAAATATGAGTAACTTTTCATTTTTACCCTAGAGAAAGAGAAGTATGCCTGGTTGAAATTTCTCAGGTTGTGAAATCTGAATCTCTTCTTGACAGTAGCTTGTACTGTCTTGCAGTGCTACATAGAGCCATTGTTTTCTGTCTGGAGCTACCTCTGAAGTCAGGAAAAGGATTATTTTAAATGCAATTAAAATAAAGAATTTTTCCTTGAGACTTTGGTATGCACTGGGAAGACACAGTATCTCCATACTGTAAAGACTTGGGATGTGACCCAGAGCCTAAGAGGCAATTATAACAGCAAGGGATTTTATTTTCCTTGATGATGCTTTGAAAGGTTCTTTTGAGATACATTCAAATGTAGAACAGTAATGAGTAGAGGAATAGCAGTCTTGGTGGAATATTTAAGAATATCATTGAATGGTTTCTAGTCTTGTATTCGAAGTAGAACAGATTTGTTAAGAGGAAACTGTGGACTTTCCATATTCCAGATTAGAATATGAAAGAGAGACGCTTCTGCCTTAAATTTTATTGTAGGGGTATAGAAACTAGATTTTATTTTCTTTTATAGAAGAAGAGAAGGGACAGTGTAAATCAGCTTTGTCCCCAAATCCATTTTGGGATAAAGTGTTAAAACAATCATGTGTTAAAATAGCATACAGATATTTTCAAATCAAATATAATTTCACGTTTAGTTTTGCAAAATCACTGTTTGTTTCCAGTGCCTTTTCTGTGTAGTTTTTAGAAAAAACTCTCATATGCACACAATACCTTATATATATTTTCATTTTGGTCATTTGTGACCCTTCTACCCTCAGATTTCTTATAGCTTTGAACTCCAGTTCCATCAATCCTTCATTAGGAACTTGAAGTCCTAGAGGACTGCAGTAAGATGTTTTTTTCTGGCTGCTGTTTTTGTCCTATATATCTTTAATCATTTTAGAGTCTTGTTTTGACATGCCTGCACTGTAGTTTTTGTCAGGGTCTTTTTATTTTAAATGTCTTTGGCATAGAGGTTCACCTGCCATCATCTGAGGGATAAATTACAGTTATACTGTTAGTGAGTAAGCTTCATATTTCAGATCTAAAGAAAATAGTGGAGTAGATTTATAAAGGGCACTGTGTTATCTAAAATACCTCCTGGAAGTGGCTTTCAACTGATGCGGTGTCAAATTATTGCATTAACCTTTCCGTAATTAATGACCAGACTTTTACTTTGACCTTTCAGGCTTGTTCATGAGACAGTGAATGTACGATTTACATAGCCTTGTATGAAAGAAAATGAAAAATTTGCATTTGAAGAGACTTCCTATATGATTCATTTCATTTTTGGAAATTTCTGAACCTTTATACATTACTCTCCCCAACTCAAGAAGTGATCCGTTCAAATTTAAGATACCTATTCAAATACCTATTTTACTTTACTTAATCATACCATGCTGTATATACCCCGTACTGAGTACATGGATGTACACAGAAAATGTGCATCTGTGCCTGCACAAGAAAGAATATACCTATTACATGACAAATGTGGCTGATTAAAACCATTGATTATTGACTCTCATTGATTAGCACTGCTATATGGCAAAAGCACAACTCATCCTCAATTTTTTTGTGTCTTCATGACTGTGTATTCTTTGGTTTTCTTTGAAAATGTGGGCAAAAACTGTTCCATAATGATTTCATAGTTGTTTTTGTTTATAACAAGATTAAATATAGGAAGAACATGTAGTAATTGGAAATAGCCCCCAAAGGCAATGTATTTTTACATGGCATTTATTTATGTTTACGTGGCATTCTGAAGTGTGCATTTTTTCAGTCTCAAAGGTTGGAATTTGAGGCTTTACTGTACAGTAATAATTTAAGTGTCCAGAGGAATTTACATCTTTCCAGTCTAATACCTCTTCTCCCTGTCTTCCCCATCATGAATCTGGCCAGCAATACTTAGAGATTTCTCTGCCCCTCCTCATTCTTTTTTTCTTGATAGGCCACTGGTTAGCCAGAATGTTAGTCTAGCATAATTATGGAATATTAACAACAAGTTAAAATGTTATGGAATATTGAAAACATATCTTTACAGAACTTACATTTGATTTTGTGAGGGGTCGTATTTTCTTGGGGAAGTAATTTTATCAAGCATAGATAGAAGATAAAATAGTGAAATGAAAATAAAAATTTATCATCTTAACCGATATATTTTTCCATTCTTCATATCTTTTCTGCCCTCTGTAAATAATTACCTGTGTGGTACACAAGAAATATGAAAGATATTTCAGCTGGAACAAATATTTTTTCTTTATTTATTTATTTTATTGTACTTTTGCAATCAATTTAGAATAAGCCACAAGACTTTAGGAAAAACCCCTTAAGTTTATTTTCTGATGAAGTGAACAACATCAAATGCCTCTTTTGCCAGATTATAAACTATTCAATATCTAGCTTCAATTTGGTCTTTTCCTGGTGGTTTGATTCAGTTGCAAAATGCAGATTAAAGGAAAAAAATCTAATTAATATGTTGGATATTGAAATGTATTGTTACACACAATGCTTTATTGTGGGTTTATATTTTCATTTGAATATTGGTGACATTATTGCATTTATAACGTGCTCTGTGAATACTTGAGACCTTTCCCATGCTTCAGTTGAATGAGGATGTGCCATCAGAATTTGGCTTTATTGTTTTCTTAATTGCCTTTTTTCTTTTAAATACAATGAACACGATTGCAGTAGAATTTCATTATGTATGTATAACTTTCTATGCAGCACAAATGTTTTTTAAAAAGATAGAGTAAGAAATGGGTGTATGGAAGTGTGAAAAAGAGTGTCTACTCTTGATCGCTTGTGTTTCTTTGCTCTGTTTGCTATTTACACAGGAAATCCAGATTTACAGTTTTCCTAAGGACATTTAGGTTCCATTTCACTTAATTTCTTTAAAAATCTCTTGTTGATTAAAGAATGGGAGCTCTAGTTTGTGTAGGAATTTGTTGGAACTGAACAAAGGAGTTGCATATGAGTTTGCAAAGGGGAAAAGAGTTTGGGATTTGTTCTTTTTTTCTTTAAATGTGGTGGTGTAAGATGCTGTTGAGATTTCAAGCAGATGTGAAGACCACGTAAAGAAGAGTAGCTAATGGAAAGCAAGCAAGAGCAGTGGTGGACCAAAGCTGCTAATTTAAAAAATAATGACTAACAGAGCTTATTGCAAAGAAGATGAAAGGGTGAGAGTCATAAGAGAAATGACATGGAGCTCAGAGTGGAATTTGAAAGCATGATATAGGATAGATGGGAGGAAACTGAATGGACAATTAGAGTATTGTAAACCTTGCCTCACTGTAGAGTACAGTGTAGAGATCCAAACCAGTAGTAATCAGGAAAATAGAAGAAAATAATGATTAAGTCAGGGAAAGACAACTGAAGATTCAACAACCTGCACTGGGAAATATGTAGTAGAACACAGCAGGAAAAATGGTCAAAGCCTGGAACTAGTGTCCAGGTAAGGATTGTAGCTGGATACTAAAAAGAAAAAAACTATTACCTGCAAGTAAATAAATAAATAAATACACCCCCCCAAATCTGGAAGTTTACACCAGTAGTAAGGAGAGGCATATATACACATGGAAGCACACTAGATGAGAACAACATCAGAGTGATGAGAAAAGAATCTTCAGGGAAGATTCCAAATATAACTGTATATATGGTAATGCTGGAAAGGATCTAAGAAAACTGAAATCCTAGAAGAAAGGTGTTAAGGTAAGAAAGACCTATGTTAAACCTTGTGCACTTTGCAGTATGAATCAGAATCCAGACACAAAGTAAGAATTGCCCAGCATCATCTTGAGATGTACAAAACGCAGATTAGCAAATAGCTCATAGCAAATAGGAAAAGGTTAAGAGTCTTTCAACTGTATATAAAAAAGAGGAGATGAAAGGTTGCTTTGGAGTGAGGAAAGGATAGCAATCAAAGATGATTTTAAACATGTCACTAAAACTGAAAACAAACATACATAATAATTTGACCTAGTTTTCATTATGGATAATGCAGGTTCAAAGGCACTGTGATTAACAGTAATGAGGCATAAGCATGGAATCGATTTTCAAAGGCAAAGCAAAACTCAAACCTCAAACTTCAGTATTTTCAGTTTAGGGACATCAGTCTTTCAGTAATGATTCTTCTAGCACATGGAAGTGTGAATTTGAGTGTATTTATCAACTTAGGGTGATTCTGCATGATTTGTGGATAAATGGTATGTTACATGGTAATTGCTTCCCTATGCTCCACAGAAAGAGTGGCTTGCATTGTCTGCCTTAAAATTTGCCTATATTAATGTTATCCATGCTTAATAAATCTCTGATTGCTTCTTGAAGGTGGAGATTCAGCTTTATGGAATATTTGTAAGCAGTGCCTCATTGATTTTTTTTTCCCCCACTTTCTAGGATATTCTGTTGCTAGATATTTTATGCTCTGTCTCACTTGCAGGTATTATTTAGATATGTCTTTTTGGAATTTCAGTAGTGTTCTCTGCTTGTAACAGTAGTTTTACTCAACCTTTTGTATTTTCAATTAAATTGGAAAATGTTCCTTTTACATTGTTTTCCTCTATTTGACCAAAGGTGTGTAAAGAAATGGACGGAGTGTTCCATTAAATCAGAGAATCTCAACTTAATAATTAGCATAGGTGCACAGCTCCAAGAGTAGAAAATAAACTGCTGCATGCTGTTGAAACACCTGTAAAAATTAACTGACTCTGTTCTGCCTAGTTAACTTTCTTCTATAAACAGGTGTCATAACAGCAGAATTAGACATCTTTATGAAATTCTTAAACATATGGGAAACTTCAGATTAGGCATTTGGATTCAACTAATTTTGATTCATAATTTCCATTCTCTCTTCCAGGTATGGTACAACCAAAAAGGTTTCCATGCGCTGCCATCCTACTTAAATGAACTCAACAACTTCATTTTGTGGCTGAATTTGCCTCCTAATGTAGATTGGAGACAGTATGGTAATAGCCCTTCTTCAAAACTTTTTTCGTATCTTTTATAAAGCGGTTTTGAAATAAACTAGAATAATTTTAAGTATTAAAATTTTTCATAAGATAAAGTAGAATTGCAGAATCAGACATTTCCGGGGAGATATGAAGGTGGAACTTTTGATTAAATAGAAGAGGTTTTTTTGTGTGTGTGAAGAATGTAGCACATAATAAGGCAGAATTTTAATTTAAAGCTCATTATGCCATATGAGTTTCTTTCAAAGGGCATTCAATAAGTGTAAATTGTTTTCCTACACTTGGGATGTTAGTCCCTGTGAAACCACTGCTAGGGCTTGCTTAAATGGACAACAGGCTATGGATTTATAACTTCTTTGTCACTTTATCCCCTTATGTAAATACAGAGGGTAAAGCCAGAGTATCCTGTAAATTCACACTGCAGCATAATGTTCCATAACATCTTGTTATCCAAGGACTGGAAGAGGCTGGTATATCTTACTATTGTACGTAACAAAAAAGAGATTAATATATTTGACATCTGAATTCTCTGATTCACATACCCTTGAGATGTATAAGAACTAATAAAACCAAAAAATTTACTAACTGACTTTAAAAAAATTGACTGCAGCTCAAGAATCAGCTGTTGACACAGGTGAACTTTTAGGATGTTGAAGTCTAGTTCAAAATCTGGGTTTAGTAGTTCAGGTTAACTACTGTTTCTACTGTTAACTACCAGCTTCTTTCATTTTTAAAGTTCTGTTTTACAGAAATTAGTTTGGTTTAGAGAAACTTAAAGAAAGCTTATGACCAATTTTTATGATCAGAGTTTTTTAAAAGGTAGGATGGTTGTGTGTAATGGTAAGATTATTGTCAGTGTGTTTACAATGACAAAGGAAGTAAAAAAGATGAAAATCACTGCAAAGGGGAAAGGAATCCTATGTATCAAAAAACAGAATTTCATGAGGAAAAGTTTCTAAAATGTCAATGAAATAAGAATAATTACTTGCTTTCAACATGGCTGGGGTTTTATTTTTCTAAATTAATTATAAGAATGAATCAAAGGTAATGTATTTCTGCAGAATTTTTGAATGAAATGGGATCAGGTATTTTAATGATAATTTTTAATAGAAATGAATTTTTAATAAAGTTTTCCTGCACTTCATGAATTGTACTGATGCTGGCTTGTTATCTGTAGCATTAGATATACCGTTTTGGAACATCAGTGTTTAAGTACCCTTATTTTTATATCTGTTATGGAGAAGTGGGGATTTACCATTCAGATTAAAGTTGGATAAAATTGTAATTGTTCCAAGGATCATGGAAATGTTGTATTTTACATTGATGTATAGCATAGATACACTGTAAGCAAAACAGTGCTAAACACTGGATGGAGAAGGGACAGCTCAGGGGCATCTTATCGCTCTCTATCCAGAAGGAGGATGGAGCGAGGAGGTGGCTGATCTCCCAGGTAACAAGTGATAGGACAAGAAGTAACAGTCTCAAGCTGCACCAGGGGAGGTTTAGGAAAAATTTCTTCATCAAAAATTTCTTCACCAGTATCAGGTATTGGAACAGGCTTCCCAGGGAAGTGGTGGAATCACCACCCCTGGAAGTGTTAAAAAATCAGGTAGATGAGGTAACATTACCATGGTATTACCATGGATGTAAACAGAGTAACAACTACTATGATATTGAAACAACCCTGGAAGAGGTCAAAAGCTTATTTAAATGCTCATATAAATACTGAGGAAACTTTCCACTTAGCAGTTATCTCCTATGGGTATTTCTTGAGCATGAACCCAGTTGGAGTTCTGCCAGATTCTCTGGAGGATGGAGGTCATTGCAGACATTGTGCCTAGTTCTACTTGCTTTGCTTGCAGGGGCAGACCTAGTAACTTTTGTAGGAGATCAGTAGTACTGGTCCCAGTGTTTTAGTGACAAGAAGCTGAAAAGAAGGCTAAATGTTTGTTTTCAATGTCTTTTGTTCAGTCAAGAGGACACAGGGAATCTAGAGTTAGGATTTTGTATTAGAGTTTGAAAGAAGTTGTACCCAAAATTACAGAGGACGTCTTGTACTGATATATATCTTGAGGGATTTGTATCTGTTCAAAAAACTGGAAAAAATCGATGATTGTTTTTCTTGTGTCAATCCAAGTTATTGACTCTTGATCACTGTGAACATGCAGGAGCAGGAAATGATAATTGTTTAGTGATCAAAATGCATCCTTTTTATTGTTGTGTAACCTGATCTTAAAATCCTTTCTTTGCAAGTGGAAAGATTTCTCTTTTTAACTCCCATATGGGATTATGAGTAAGCTTCTCCATAAGAATACTTGGAAAATTACAATGTTTGTGTCTGGTAATTTTCATTTAAAGAGTGGTATGGTTGTTGAAGAAAATGTGTCCACCAGCTGGAGTTGCATGTAAGTAGATAGAGCAACAGAAGATAGGCAGACTGAATTACATCACTTTATCATAGTTATTAGATCAGACGTCTATTTTGGAGCAGCAGTTCAGGAATACTTCTTATATGAAATTAGCTCATCTTCTCTACCATGTGGATAGCCGTCTCTACTTCATAATCATGTAAGTCTGTGTTTCTATTGTGGAAAAAAATCTAGCTCATTGGAAAGTAAACTAAATACATTTTGTTTTCTAGTGGTTAAAAATTCAGTGACAGATAATGAAAATAAATGCTTTAAACAATTAAAAAAAAAAGTGAGAAAGACTGTTCAACAGAAAAGTTAAGATGGACTAGGGTTTTGACAAAATATCAGTCCTGACTGGTCTTTAAGCTTATGTGAATGATATTTGTATGTTTTTAAATCTCTTTCTGAAATGCCTCATGCCTACAACTGGATAATGTAATTGTGAACAGATTAAAAAAGGATTAATGAAGAGGATGAAAAAGCTAAAAGGCAATGTTTTTTGCTTAAGCTTAAGATAAAAATACCCATTAAGAACTATGTTACTTTTCACACTCAATTGTGTTCGGTTGAGTCAGAATGTGTTTATCCTGCTCGAATATGGGGAAAGGACTATTACCTTCCTCTTAGGGTAAGATTATATGAAGAAAAAAGGAGTGGCAGTCATCTATAATGATGTCTGTAAAGTACAATGGTCAAAGAAATTTCCTACATCATTACTCAAAGAACAGAAGTGTATCAATATAGAAAGGCCTTCTGCAATGCAGCTGCCCCATCTCGGACTTCTATTGAAGTCATTGATTTTTTAAAATCCTTTCATGCTAGGGCTCATTGTAAGAGTTCATATAGCATCCTCATTCAGTTCTTCAAAAGAGCTGAAAGGATCAAGAGACCCATTTTCAACTGAGTTTTGGTGGAAAGTGACTGTATAGTTTCTTGATTGCTTTTCAAATCGTAACTTTAAACCTCTTTTCAAAGGAAACTGTGAAATGGCATTTAGTAGGAATCTTCTTAACCATATCTAGTTAGTGGGGGGAAAGTAAAATATAAATCAGTACTGAGGGTGCTGTCTGTGAAATTCTCAATTATTCATGTAATTTTCAGTAAACAGTAATGTTTCATTTTACACAACACAAATCTCATCATAAATTTTAAATCCCCACAAAGAAGACCTTGTAAAAATCATATATATATGCTACCTCTATTTTTATTATACATACTATTTTATTTTATCTAAGCTATTTTATTCTAATCTGAACTAAAACGTCTGGAATAAAAAAAGCTAGATCGGTCTCCTATTCAAGTCTGTAACAATCCTGATATTTAGAATTAGTAGCACAGATCCAAAATGATCCATGTACTCAAGACTCAGCATGCTATGTGACAGGAAGAAGAGAGAGTTTACAAAAGAGTGTCAAGAGAGGGGCTCAGACACCCTCAAAATACAGTGCAGAACCACGAAATATACCCAAGGATAGCTCTGATTAACCTATAGTGAAAGCATATAAGCTTGAAGTGACTCATGTTTTTTATAACTTATAGGAATGAAACATTCCAAGTCTCTAAGACTATGCCAAATTGCACATGGCTTTCTTTTCAGACAGATGCTCAGGTGGTTTAGATTTGAAATAGAAGACCTAGAGCACTTTCTCTTGAAGGTACCATTTGCAAGACGTTGGTATGGGGAAAGGTGTCCTGAGTTGTGCAACTCCTGAATGGTAACAGGGCAGGATTTTTCCTACCATAATCGATCTACTGTTCATTTCAAATGTCTGTAATGTGAATGCTTTTTCCTTTTTCCTGTAAACTGTCCTATCCAAAATATAAAAGAATAGTTTTTTTATTCTAGAGGATGTTGTAATGTTTATAACCTATTATAAAGATTTTTTTTTCACAAGTTTAGGGATCCCTTTTTAGCATATTAGAGTCTAAAATTAGTTTAATTGAGAATAATGTTAGGAAAGGAATAATATTGTTCAGCCTGGAAGGGAGAAGACTAAGGGGAAATCATAGAGAAGCTGAAGAGGGTATAATTAATTGTTTATTGCCTCTTCTACTATTAAGCATTAGCATGGAGCTCCAGGTGACACTTCCAACGAAAATACTTCCCTCACCCCTCCCACTGGGTTATTCATGCAATTTATAGTTAAAATGTGATGCTTTGAGCACTTCCCTCCTCTTTTTTTCTTACTAATGTGGGTGGAAAGTCTGGTTAAAATGCCTTTTCTCAGTTGTGTGAAGTCTTCCACTGAGCAAAACAAGAGATAGTAACTAAGCCTTTTACTTCAAAAAAACCCAGCCCATCCCACTCCCCAAGAAAACACACCCCTTCTCCCTCCCAGACAAATAAAACCCACACCAAAAAAAGAAGTTAAACTGAGGAAAGAACAAAAAAGGGTTTTAGCTGAAAACTAGCTAAAAAAGTTTTTTACCAAAATAACTGTTGAGATTGACATCTGGCCTCGTTCCTTTTCAGAACTACACAAGAACATATATCAGTTAATATGTATACAGTCATGTTTCTTTCTTTGAGATACCCTCTTCTTCACCCCATTCTAATCAGAGAAACAGTGCCTCTCATGTTTCAAGCTCTTCATTTTTATACTGGAGAAGGTTAAAAGGTCTAAGAAAGTCTTGACATCATGGTGTTCACTTCCACTTTGAATACAGCCTTAAAATCCTGATATAGTATAAGGAACTGAATCGTCACAGTTTTCCCTGTTCTTGCACTGCTTATGCAGGGCTTTAGAAAGATTAGAATTGGTGCCTATCACAATTTTTCACCTGTGCTCACAAAGAAGCCTAAATTGTCACTGTAAAACTAATGACACAAACTCCATGCCAAGAACATAGACAAAGGATTGTTTAGGACAACTGGGAAAATTCTGGTTGTGTTTAAGTCAGGAGAATAAAATAGCAATCTGTAGATGTGGAAGAAACATTTTTATATTGAGAAATTTATGAAAAGGAGCAGAAAGCTAGGACTGAATCATACCATATTTGTTGATATTGCCTGTCTCGTTTTTCCCTTGTGAATACTGATTTGGTAAAATTTTCCTTGAAGGCTGTTCACACAAGGCTTACAAATACAATCCTTAAAAAAATCCTTGCATAAACACCACATACATCTGTTTAATAGGAGCTTTGTCATTTGGAATTTCTTGGTTTATCTGTCATTTATGGTTATTATTTTACTTCCTCAAAGATTGTGTTTAGTTTTCAACTTAATGAGCATCATTATAGCAGCTTTACATAGTAAAAAGGCATATAAAGGCAAGAAAGCATTGATAAGTACATCTTACATCATTTTAACAGCTGTATTGGGACAGAGATATATGTAAAGAAAGATGGTCTAGGTAGTTAGGCGAAATTTAGAAAGGTACAGATTATAAAAGTACACAGATTTTTTTGAGTTTTATATTATTATTAAAAAAATGCAGATACTAGCAAATAGCTTATGTCAACTGTGTTGGCTTATTTTCCTATTGGAAGATAGTTTATTCCTCCTTAGGTTCAAGATAACTTTTTTCCCCTCTGTGAATCACAAGTCAGATTGTTGGCGTTACATAAATTCACCATCTATTTTTGTATAATGGGGGGAAGGAAGAAATAATTTGCTAAAAAATGTAGCAAATGCAGAAGACCCTCATGCTGCAGACAAATTGGGAAAAAAAAAAAAGAATGAAAGGAAAGTATAATATTTAGTACATTAGAATTTTGAGTTCTAACATAGAACTGAACTTAGCTTAACACTCTTATACTTTAATTGTAATTTAGCAATCCCGGGAAATTTGATCTTAGTTACATGTGTAAGTTTTCAAAAATGCAATCCTTTTCAAATATACAAACCATCTACATGGTTTGAATGGAAATTGAGCGTAGAAGATGGTTACTACTTTACAGAAGAGCAATTACTTCTTGGGACTCTTCTATTGAAAGAAATTAATTCAGTGCAATTTGCTTTTTGATCAGTACTGTATAATACAAGACTGCAATGAACATTATGTTATTTAATGTTGTGGTTTTTTAATTATTTTCCCCAGCAATTATCTCTTTTTCAGTCTCTGTTTATTCTATACTAGAGAGTTTTATAGCAGTGTATTTCTGTGTGTAGAACCCAAGTCAACTGTTGTAGGCTTTAATAGCAATGCAGTAATCTGGAACTTTTGTTAGTATCCTCTTGGGATCTGTGCACTTAGTAGAGACAGACCATGGTGATTTCAGGAGAAAGATTATTTCCAGACACATTAATATGCCTGAGCAGAAGTCATTCATTATAAAATATTTGATGTATTTTTGTCTTTGTGTTTTGCATATTTCATTAATTCCCTGTGGTTCTTTTTGAAAAGTTTCAGCAGTGCCGGTGAACCTCTTCTATAAAATTCATTGAGTAGGTTCCCAAAATGTACAAGTGGGCAAACTTGTGTTTATGAGCATGAATTCGCTTGCACAGAGAATTGCACAAGCATGAAGTCATAGCCATTTTTGCTAGTGTGTATTCCTCTCACTGAATACAGCAGGTAGTTGATAGCAGTAGAGCAATGGGATACAATTCAAATCAACCTGGATAAATTCATGGAATATATTGGAAAACCTTTCTGAATTTCTGACAGACTGCCTCAGTTCTGGATGCTTAATGGATAATAATTCTCTACCACAGTCCACATGTCAGTTTTATCTGTGTCTCAGTTTGGGAAAAAGGATGTGAATCAGTAAAACCTACAAGTCTCCAAGTCTTGGCATTTCCTCATCATGGGCAGTATTATAAGATTTGCAATCCTTAAAAATGCTACCTCTTGAGCTGGGAAAATTTTACTGTAGGATTTCTGCCTCCTGAAACATTGTGGAGGACAGGTTTGTTAGAACATTCAAATTATTGTTCCTGAAGACACCACCTTGAAAACTGTGGGAAGATCCTCTATAACTAGAACTTGGCTCAAGACCTATTTCTGCTTTTTGATAATTCAGTTGAACACTAGTGAGTATTAGAAGCACATTTAATGTTGTTAACATTGTTTTAGTGCTTCTGAAATTATCAGGATTCTCATTTTCCAAAAGCTTCTGTTTTTGACTATTAATTTCTAATTCAATAGGTAACATATATATTTATATGGATTGAAGACATTCTTCTGATATCCACACATGCATTCAACCTTTGATAAAGCTTAGAAAAATATTTCTGGTCTAGTGGAAGGTGTCTCTGCCCATGGCAGGGGGATTGGAACTAAATGGTTTTTAAAGTCCTTTCCAACCCAAGCCATTTCATGATTCTCTGACAGCAACTTTTTCACTGACAAAGTTTTGCACATAAACACATACACACACACTTTTTTTTTTATTTGCTTGAGAAGAAATAAAGCAAAAAGCCACATCCTTTTTGTCTATAAACTATGTTCCAATTCTGAAGTTCAGCTTGCTAGATTGTTATAGGCTAGTTGTACCAAGAAGCAAAATAAGCCTAAAAATGCATTGCCTAGTCAGGATTTTTCCTAGTTTCCCAAACTGTGTATCTTTTTTTTAATTTAAAGCTCTACAGTTTCACTCTGAGCTGTGGCTTTTTTTTTTTTTTTTCATATTTATTTTTCTTTTCACAGGGATCACACTTTACAGCCAGCCATATGGAGGAGCCTTGCTGGATGAGGACAAAATGTGAGATAATTCTTAAAATATGTAACAGCTGCATGAGCAGACAATTGAAAATATTAATTCAATAAACATGTATGTTGCATGCAATAGATGTTGTGACTTGATAGATGCAATTCAGTTGCACCGAGTGAAGCATTTTTTCTAGTCTGGTGTTTGTATGCCAAGTCTAGTGTTTATATCAGATATGGTTCCACTATTTTGTAGAGAAAAATACTGAATTTACAGTGTCTGCATTTTACAGTGTTTGTGAACAGGTCATGACATTTTCAAACAGGTTAACTGCTTCACATGGTTGTAAAGTTTTTAAATTTGAATTTTCTGTAAAGGAGTGAAGTATTTGCAAAACTTCACTTTCCTATTCAGACTTTAAACACATGCTGTGTTCTGTAACTCTTTTAACTTAACTCATCATCTTGTTCCTGTTCTCTAATTAGATGTTGAGAGTGTACGGACATGGTGTTTGTAAACAGGATTAAGGTCCTAATGTCTAGCGTTGCTTTGCTGAGAAGCTGGGTTTGAAAATGTTTGGGTTTGTTCACACCCCTCCCCTACCTCCCTGTTGTGCTTTCATTATGTCATTTTACTTTGTACCCTAGAATGGAGAATGTTCGTCAGTGTGGAGTAGCACTCTGTATCATGCTGGGTTTCTCTATCCTTACTGCATCCATTGGAAGTGCCATAGTGAAAGACAGAGTGTCTGGCACAAAACGCCTGCAGCACATCACCGGCCTGGGTTACAAAACTTACTGGCTTGCTAACTTCTTCTGTGATATGGTATGTATCATGTGGGGTAGCATGTGTTCAGCTATAAATTTTTAACTAGTTGGTCATAAATGAGGAAAAGGAGATATGATCACAAGACACTTGAATAAGATTTGAATTTTGCAGAGCAACAGCTCTTGGTTGCCATGATAACAAACATTGGGACACAATTCTTACTTTAATACTGCTAGATAAAATTGTTTAAGGCAGGGATGGTGTTTTTTGTTTTCCGAAGTTGAATTGTAAGGTAAAGCATATGCTAGCTTTATGTACCTGCAGTATTTTACAGATAAAAGAAAGCTGTCTAATCAACCTAGACAGAGAGAATCTTCAATACAGCAGTTCATAGTAGGAGTTTCTGTGCCTTGATTTGCCACTGGTAAAACGTTTGACAACATTGGAGACACCTGGATATACTACTCAGCTACTTTAAAGGCATAATTATGTTGTCTGTTGGTGGGTAATATAAGAGATACTCTTGACTGGTACTTTTTATTTATGGCAAGATAGACAGTAGAAAATGTTATTTATGGATTCATATACACAGATCAGAAATGGGTGAAGTCTCTGTCTTGAATGTTTATTTTTCTCACACCAAGTAATTTCTAAAATTGTAAGCATTGCAAATAGTTTTGTCTATATGCAGTTCATTAAGAAATCTGAAAATCTTTTCTTTTGAAAATACCAAAAAAGTTATAATTTTCCACTAAATCTTACCCTTTTAATCAAATGTAAAGACAGGAATGCAACTGAGACCTGACTTTGGCAGGTCAGATTCAGGCCAACATAGTTAAATGAAATAGGAATTTTTGCTTACCTTCTTCAAGCCTGAGAAGTTGCTTTCTCTTCAGGCCAATAAGGAAAGTTGGTGAAATAGAATGAACTTTCTCAGGTCACTGCTAGTCCCCAGTCACTAATTCTTAATCTGTGTAATGGAGCTCACTTGAATTCCATTTAAGCATGAATTCCACAAATTATCTTCAAATATCTTTTCAAAGGTGACACTTTAAAAGCTAAATTTTAAAATTTATCCACTATATAGATGTGTATATATCTCTGTGTGTCTAAATATATAAGGCATACATACAGGTCTCTTACCAAAAGGCTTTTTCATAATTTGCTTGTCATGAGGCTAGCTATAGTATTAGTTGAGTGTTTGGCAGGAGTTAGAGATTAGGTCATCTACTTCTGGGAAAGGGATAGAATTACTATATTTAAAGAACTAGAGTGTCGTTAATTGACTGTTCACTTCTCAAAGAGTTTCGGATTGGGAGATTGCTTTCAGAGGCAATAGTGAAAAATTGGAGTCACCCGGATTATTCAAAAGTAAAAAGATTCCTGGCCCAGAGAAGGGACATAAACTTTCTGCACCTTGCTTAACACACATGGGTCATGGAAGGGAGGGCTGGGATCTAGCACAAGCAACGCAAACATGATCTAGCCTGGTCAGGAGCAGAGATTTTTGGAATACTCTGTTCTCATTCAGACTATTATAAATTTGAAATGTTAGCGTTCCACCCATCCATGCTTGAAATCAGGATGTTTACACTTGAGTGAGCTCAAAGTAAGAACACATTTCTCCAAATGTTATTTACTTGGCTAGTCGATCTTTGTGTTCCTTTTTCTGCCATTTCAGATAAGAGGGCTTGGTTTAAAACAGTCCTTCATCATTCAGTTTCTCCTTGTGCAACAAAGTCAATTCCTCATTATTTTCTGCCAATCTCTTCCTTTCAAAATGTTCTCTCAAATTCAGCACAGTACTGCATGATCAATCATGATCTGGGAAAGAACAGATGCTACTCTAAATGCTAATTGTGCCGCTGATCGTTTAGGGACACTAACACATGAATATATGAACTGTCAAATTTGAGATTCCTCTACATATTTTAAATATTACAGGCTGTGTCCTGTATTATTGGTAGCATAATCTTTATTAAACTTGCAGAAATATTTGATTTATGAAATGGCTGTCATGAGGATCAGGCTGTTCTTACTGTATTTATAGATGTGAACGGTATTCTTTGTTGTGTTCCAACAAATGGAAAATGTGTAAGTCCTAAGAAAATGTCATGACAAATAGAGACGTTTTGTTCAGATTATGCTTGTGTCACTAAAGGGTCAATATTAAGGTTATTTTGCCTGTCCAAGCCCAACTTCTATAACACACATTTTCAGGTAAGATTTCTAGTGGAATTAAATGTTTAAAGTTACACATTTATTCATGGGAAAAAAAGTCCCTGGTCTGATGAAACATATGGGAATTCAGGTGTTTTGTGACTTCTCTACCATATTTTTTTAAACAGCTCCAAGATAACTGAAGCCTATATGTATGGAGTGGTATGATATTTGTATATGGTACTGAATAAGGTACACTGTGAACAAGATGAGAATATTACATCTGTCTACATTTCATTCCATTGCCTGTCTCCTAAAAAAAATGTGTCTCTTCCCATTGACAAAGTAATGATGCCTTCTGGTTTAATTGAACAGATTTGCATTGTACTTCAGTATGAAAGCCCAATTTTAACAGTAAGAATGTTGCTGTTCAGCACTAAATATTTAACTAGACCTTGATTTTTTTTGCCTGCATTGCAGTTGCATGTCAGAATCTTAGTTATATTAGGATAAGTTTAAATATGATATAAGCAGAAATGGAGGCAGTCACTGCTCTAATGAGCTCAGCTTCAGTGCACAAGGGGACAGACAGAATTGAACTGAGCACAGCTTTTCACATCTTGCCGTTGCTAGTTATAAGCAGAACCCATCTCTTTTGAACACTCGGGTATGAATCCCCTGTACCAATCACATCCACCCCCTCTGAAGTATTTGCTTACCATTATGTCAAAAGACTAAACTGAGAAACTGCATTCCCTTGCCTAATGGCTGTAACTTTTCTAAATATTATGTCTGTTCCCATTAAAACTTACGATTTGCTTCATGAGCACACGTGGTCCTTCATTAAAGAATCTTCTAAAATAGTATCCTTACTATTCTCCTGTGGCTGAAGCACCAATCAGTGAAACGGCTTTTTCTGAATCCAAGACTCTGTATTCACAGTATAATTTGATGTTTTGGAGCAATAGTCCTGTATGGACTCATTACCTGGAAGACTTAGCTTGTTAAATGGATGTATTGGAAAGGTCAATAGAAATGGAATTAAGCGGAATATTCTGTAGTTAGATTTATTTTGTTAGGCTGTTTCATGTGTATATGTATAAGAGGGGCAGTTTCACAGCAAGTGTGGCCTATGAAATCTCAGAGCTCTTCTGCCTAATTTTTCCTCATTTATAGTGTAATTACATTGCAAATATGGAAATGTTAAATGGTAGAGTTCTTCTATGCTAATTAAAAAAGACTAGTAAGAGATGCTCACCTGCTAAGTGCCTTTTTTCTTCTGTTTCTAGCTGTTTTACATGGTTCCAGTCACCCTGTGTGTTGGTGTTATTAGTGCCTTCCAGCTATCAGCCTTCACTTTCCAAAAGAACTTGGCAGCCACTGTTCTCCTGCTGATACTCTTTGGGTATGTGATTGGAAATGCTACCACAGAATTATAGCTTGTAAGAAACAAGGAGAAATCTTTAGATTTGGTTTGCACCTGCTGCTGGGTGCATGATTTTCCCTCCTTTGAAATGATTATGATACAGCAGAAGATAGGCAGAAAACAGGCTTGAACATGATGAGTTTGAAAGTTCTACAGGGAAAGTGAAGAGAGATTTGTTCACACATTTGAAAAAAAAAAAAAAGAAAGGAAAAATAATAATAATAAAAAAGGACTGGAAATGTCTCAGAAAATACTTAGCCTGCGTAACAATCATTTGCTCTTAGAAACTGGTTGTATGTTATCTTCCAGAAAATGAGGGAATGATAACATAAGCAGATCAGAATTTCAGTGCTTAGCTGTGCAGAATATGATCCAGAAGGTAAGAAGTGGCTGTCTTCTGTTACAGTTCTACCCATTTTCTGTAATCCTGTAATTATACATAGATCCAGGAATTTGTATTTCCAGTGAGAAGTCTGTCCTATGGCGAGTATTGGGCTGGCTGGAGATTTGTCTCCAAATAGTGCAAGAGAGGAAAATTCTCCCATATCACCCTCTTCCTTATTTCCATGTGAAAAAAAAACCCAAACAAACCAGTTATAAAAAATTAAAATAACTGGTTAAACAGAGGATTTATTTCTCTGTAGAAATACAGCTATTGAGCACTGGGCTTAAACTAATTGTCTGTCTATTCTGTTCCTGTAACTCTCCTTGTGTGTAGTCCCAAGTGATGTGAGAAAAGATGAATAGTTGCAGGATACATATTCTGAGAAGTTTCTTCCTTATCTCAAGCAATTAAATGTTGTGGTCTTTGTAGAGGGGAATGCGTATTTTACAATAATGAAATATAACTGCTCCATGAAAGAATGACAGAAAAAGTAGAATGACAAGGAAGGAAAGTAGAAAGTAACTTCTTCAAGGTCAAAACATGTTCCATTCCAGGAAGAGTCTCAGATAAATTCTTTAAAGACCCCATACTTACTGTATTTCATCTTAAAACTGTTTTCAAGACCTCATACCTCCAGCAAGTCTTGTTTTTTGAAAACTGTTTCGTTATCTCCGTAGCTAGATGTGGATGAAATTCCAGCCTAAGTGTATTTGGAACCATACCTTATAATTGTCCCTCATGAAACATCTTTTGCAAGCCCAAACATCTCTTGTAAAAAGCCCTTTCCATTCCGTGGATAATTCTAATTTTCCTTAAAACTGCAGTTTGAGCTCATCTTTTCTGGGCATGAGTGATCAGACTAGTATGTAATATTCTAGGGGTTATGGTGCCAGGATTTCACAAATAAGTCAGATGAAACATTCAAAGTTCGTACTTTTCTCTCTGTATCACTCTCATCTTCCTTCTCCTTCTTTCTGCACTACGACCAATTGTTTCCTGCAAATTAAAGGCAGAAACTCTTATCAGTCTTCGTGGAAAGACTTCACACTACTAACTCTCATTCTTGTTTTTATGACCTTTACAATTGCTGAATCTTTCTTGTAATCCAGCTGTTGTGACCTTAGCATAAGAATATCTCTAGAGATCTCAGTCGAACAGTAAATAAACCATATAGTACATAGTTGTATGTCTGCTGAAGTCATGACATGTTTTCTGTAGTGTGCTATAATTTTTGGTCCTACCCACAACATGCTACTAAATCCCAGGTGCTAAGGGTTATGCTGGCATTGTTTTAATCAAAATGTTGAAGTAAAGTTTGAGTGTTTCAGAAGAAAGAAGCATTGACTGAAAAGCTGGACTGCCTTCCAAAAATTTTTATGTTGACTGCAGATGCAACTTAATCATCTCAGCGTAATCCCTCCTGTACTGTTCAGCTTTGGCTGATATAACAGATGTTACAGTGATTTTTAACAAGAAGGTCTATGTATTCAATGTGTATTAACATGTATTAAAGATACAATAGCTGTCAGTGTTTAACATGTCTCATAGACACTGATAAATTTCAGAGTTGCCACACTTCCTACTGTACCCTTACTCAGCCTAAGTAAATATGATGAAACCTATTGTGGTAATTTTATTCTTTCCCAGTACTGTACATTTAATTCTTATTTATCTGCATTCCATAATACATTTTTTGTTTAAAAAAAAATTGTTTTTTCCCTTCAGGGTGAACTTGTGCAACATTTCTGAGCTGGAATAAAGATAAAAATAGCCCAGCTTTATGAAAAAGTTAAACTATGTGCCATTAAGAGGTGTGCTTGAAAGAATAATCAATAATTTCCTAGTCTGCTACTTTAAAACTGATTTCCTTTAAAAATAAAATGGACCCTTATCTAAGCTGCATTTTTCTCCTCTTTTAGCTGATAACAAATGTGTTTTATAGGGCAACTGCTTAAGCAATTTTGTCCGAAATGCTCTTTGATACTTAACAAATTACAGCTGAAGCTGAAGGAAAAGAAAGTTAGGATAGAAATGTAGGCATGATTGTCAGCTACTTTAAAGGCTGCATTTGAACATCATACAACTTTAGTATTCTGAAAGTCTTACTCGTTTCTCAGCAGCTATAGGCAAACAAACCAAATTTTGCTTTCATTTACAGCAGAGTAACAGCACTCTAAATTGTGTCTCTTTCCTGTGCTTTTCCAAATTTGGACTTGTCTTCTATTTATGGTATTGTAATTCAGAGCAAAACTTAGAACAGTAATTTTGGCATGTGCACGAAGGGAAGAAAAGGCTGTGATTAAGACTGGCAGCAGGATTCTGAAAAGTACAGTGTGATCTTGAATACTTGACTGTCTTCATTTGAGACCCAAACATTAAGTCATTTAACCTTTATCTTCCTGTAAACTGAGGATAATATCACTATTATTTCACATCATGATTTGAAAGTTTGTTTCTTAAGGTTAAGTATTTTGGTGTTTTTAGATGAAAAAAATTCATCTGCAAAGTACACAATACTGAATTTAAAAGGCTCGTAATCTAGTGTTTAAAGCAATGAAGAAGTAAATTCACAGAGTTTTGTCTAACTTCTCTTGCACTGAGCTATTAAACCATTATATATACATATATTAAGACTATATAAGAAGTATTTATATATACAACTACAGGAATATATAGTACATATATAGTTATCATCATGGAATGGTGTATGCTGATGCCTATTGTCCTGCAGTCTATATATTTGTTCTTTGATAGATACATATGTCTTTCACTATGTTAAATGGAAAATAAACTTCCTTTACATGACATTCATGCTTATCAAATTGCCTGGGCATTTTTTTTAGTCTGCCTAGACATCTTACTCTTTATAAGAAGTATGACTACTCCATTTTGGATAGGCATCATTTGACTTGCCAGAATGGAGGTGACTTCCTCCTTCAAATATTTGTATTGAAACTTATGTAGCCATGAACAATACTGTCTTATCATCATTGTGCTATGAAGTAACTATGCAGTCATATATTACTCATAGAGGTTACTACTCTACTGACTGATAAGCTGGTTTAGGTAAAAAAAATGCTAATATGATCTCTGGCAAATTTCAGTTCTCAGGTAACATTGGCACTCTCTCCTTCTTTTTTTGGTTCTTTTTAATTCCTGTGAAAGCTTCCAAGAAAAGCTGATTGCTCAGCATTCGTGATTTAAGCTTCAAATATTTGGTTTTAATTCTATCTCTGTGAAGAGGCTTGTTAAGATGGATGGTTTTGCAGTCATTCAGGAATCAGTGTTCTGATCTTTCTAGAATAGTGAAAATAAATATATACAGTTGATATATGCAAAAATGGATCATATCTGCCCATCACATGGCAGCAGCTATGTGTAAATCTACGGAATCATAAGGTAATTTGATAAAAAAACACATCCCAAATTTGTGCTTATTTTTCAATTGGTCTAAAGAGTTTTTTGCATATTTTAAAAATAAAGAATTTTTTTTTCCCTAGTGTTGGAATGGATTTTTTTTTTTTTTGTGAAGCAAACCCACAACTTATTTGTGATAATTTTGTGTCTCTAACCTTTCAGATATGCAACTTTGCCGTGGATGTATCTTGTATCCCGATTCTTCTCAAGTTCTGATGTAGCTTTTATTTCTTACATCTCCTTAAATTTTGTATTTGGCCTGTGTACCATGCTTGTGACTCTCTTACCTCGTTTATTAGCTATAATTTCCAGAATGCAGGTCAGTATAAACCCTTTGTTTTACATTACTCATAAGTAAGCTGGATGCACACGCGTTTGTGTATGTATATATGTGTTTATACATATGCACAGACAAGAATTTTTCCAGCACAAAAATGCATATTTTAAAAATTCATGATTTTTCTGTCCTAGTGTATACTGTATTGCTTGTTGCCATCTTGAATTTTAACTTGTTTATAACAAAAAAACCCCAAACAAACAAAAAAACCAAACCCAAACCAAAAGCGCTTTAATAATGGAAAAACAGTGTTAATTGAAACCTTGACATTTTCCAGACCATTAAGTTGTAATTGGCACATAATAGGAGCTGTTCTGGTCCATTAAATAGGTTATATGCATTATAAAATGTGTTTGAATAATATTGACATAAGAGAGAAGCTGCATATTCCTAGGATCTGTAATATGCTGTATGAATAGTAATATGCATTCTCACTCCATGTATGTAATTTTCATTATTCATAATGATAATTAAGCAATTTGATGGAAAAGACCTGGGTTTAAGTTGGTAATTTAGAATTAATGGTATTCAAATATTAAAATGCTAAGGAAATAGAATGGTCACGTTTTCTTACTGTCTGTGAACCTCACTAAGATTAGAATCTTGTGGCCCTAGGCATTCTAAAATAAAATAAGAGATGTACCCTGACCCAAAATAGTTTGCAATATGCTCTTTTGAAATCAGTTCACCTTGAATGAGATTTGAATGCTGTATCCAGCTTTGTAAAGGTGCTTGATATGCTGTTGGTGAAAACTAATTTTGTTTCCTCCCCCCTGTCTCTTGTTGAATTTTAATGCAGAGTTTTCAGAACATCTACAGTATCCTCAAATGGGCGTTCATCCTATTCCCACAATTCTGCTTAGGCCAGGGTTTAATAGAACTCTCATACAATCAGATCAAGTTTGACCTGACCAGAAATTTTGGAATAGATTCATATGTGAGCCCCTTTGAGATGAATTTCCTGGGCTGGATTTTTGTGGAAATGGCCCTGCAGGGAACACTACTTCTTCTTTTACGACTTTTTCTTCACTGGGATCTCCTCCAGAAACCAAGGTGTGTTACTATTTGTATTCTGCCATAGTGGACACTGACTAAGTTTTAAGGAAAGAAGACAGTGGGTCACCTTGAACACCTGAAGATAAATACTTCTGATAATATGGTGTACCTAAATTAGTGAAAACTGCAGAAAAATACAAGGTAGTTGCTATTTCCTTTGCATTCTGCTGAGATTTGATCACCAATCTTTAAGGGATAGCAACCAGGAAATAAACCAGAATTATCCAGAGTACATCAGTGTCCAATTTGCCATGTGTTATTTGTTATCATCTTCTGTTTTAGGGGTCATTGTTCATTTAACAGCATGGTGAGCCCTTCAGAAGATATTGATGTAGAAATGGAGCGACAGCGACTCTTTGGTGGAAGAACTGGTAATGATGTCCTCCTTCTGTACAACCTCAGGAAGTGTTATGGAGGTTTCAGTAAGAAGAATACAGCTGTGGAAAGCATAAGCTTAGGAATACCAAGAGGAGAGGTAAAGAGGGTTGTTCTCTTTTTCCTTTCAGAAAATAACACTTCATTCTGAGCTGTTGTTCAGACATACCCAGGACATCTATAATCAATGATCTGCAGATAGCAGCAGAACATTTTCAATTGTAGTAATTTCTGAAAATCCATAACTGTATAAAAGCAGAAGCTCTGGTGGTGTTTAAGAAACAACCGTTCACTTAATTTTGGGGGTTTTACACTCATCAGAGTCTTACTTTTCCTTCTTGCTTATCTTTACTAAGTTACTGGTTTATAAGCTAACATAAAAACCAAGTAAGTAGCATAGCAGTTCAATGTCCAAAGATCGTGCAAAATGTACCTAGCTCAATTGTAAACTGTGGACTGCATCCTGAATTTGTCACTAAGGCAAATATCACAGTATATTTTAATATAGTTACTAGGAAGAAAATTAACTCTATCCCAGCCAAAACCAAGACAGTGTAATGTAGTAATATACTATTTTAATAAACTGAAATTTAATACTGAATATGGAAATCCTTAAGATTTCAGAACAGCATTTACTTGTTGGATTGGGGTTTTTTGGTTCTGATTTAGGGTTGGGGTTTTTATTTAATGATTTTGATGTTTTTAAGAATTGTAGATATTAAATTGGAAGATGTGAGATAATGGTGCATGGAAGCCTAGGTCCAGTGATGTTCTGCCAGTTAGAAATCAGTTGTAAGGTAACTGGTGTAACCAGGAGGATGTTTTTGCTGTTTAGAGCCTATTAATCAATAAGAAAATTCATGAAAGGAATATTTTGGAAGTTTTTAAGTGCTATATGTAGACTTAGTATGATCCTGTCCTAGCTTAAACATGTATTCATTGCAGCTAGGGGCCTAAAACAACTGTTCAGAGTCAATTTGTGTCTTGGCTGTTTGGTACCAATCTGTACATTCACTTTTACAGAGTGAAGCCACTCATGAGAAACTGAGAAATACTGACTCTGTGGACTGGTAGTCTGGGCAGGTCCAAATCTAGAACTAATAATATGGACAAATAATGCATTTAGTTACTGGGCAGGTTTTTTAGTGGAGGAATAGAATCCTAAATAAGTCACTTTTAGGAATTAGAAGGTAATCAAATTATTATATATATGGGTTTGTTGTTTTTTTTTTTTTAAACTGGTTTTCCATGGGAAAGGGAATATGCAGGTACAGTATATCTATATATAGTGACTTATGATAAGAAATATGAAAGGGTGAGAAACTGTTGAAGAATTAATATTATTTCTTTCAGCATAGCTGGTTGCTTTTGCTTCTTTTTTTTTATTTTTTTTTTTTAATTTTATTTTGATCTCTGTTAGTGTTTTGGACTCCTGGGAACAAATGGAGCTGGGAAAAGCACAACATTTAAGATGCTGACTGGAGATATCATCCCATCTGCAGGACGTGCTGTTATCAGGACTCCTACAGGGTAAATAACACAGGATTTGACCAGAATAGTGCTAATTGATAATGTTAATGATCAAAGACTCAGTACTTCTTCAGTCCCTTATACTGTACTCTAAGGACCTGTTTTGTTCCCTTTTAAATGTATATTGCTTTATTGCTGTTAAGTCTCTGCAGGAAAGCATTTTAGCATTATTTAATTCCATTTGACAGCTCTGTTAATTAAGAAGAAACTTGTCTGGAAGCAAAAGAGTAGACTCTAGGAAGTCTTAACATGCAGCTTTTTAAAATCGTAACAAAAATCTTAACATATAGTTAAGCATACCGCACATTAGTGCGGCACTGAAAGCTTTCCAGGCTTAGGCTGATGAGCAGTGTTTCAAGTGGATAATTTTAAAATGTTTTCTGACACTCGTGTCCTTCAAACACATTAATTAATTACTTGATCAATATGCTCTGTAAATATAGGAGGTAGTGTTGGTGGTATTGAGGCTGATTTTGATGGAGTGATAAGTGAATAATGGACTTTCTGGGTTAGATGTAACCAACCTTTATCATTTTTCCTAGCAGAATTGGAGGGGAAGTAAAGTTCTTAGTTCTTAGAGATTTGCATTTAAGTGTCCAAAATACCCTTGACAACACTAATTATCACCCTGAATATTACGGTGGTATCAGTCCAGGTTACAGATTTTTATGTGTTTGAAGTGGTCAAATTGAGCATGAACCCCATATCCCCAAGTTCTTCCAATTTATCACTAACTTGAGAAGGCAACCTAAAGTAAGAGCTTCAGTTACAGAGTAGCTAAACTTGAGGAAACAAACAGCTTAAAGGCTGGGAGAAAAGATTTATGTCATTCCTGACTTTCTTCCTTGCTTTGTATTTTGGCAACTGCTGTTAAGCAGATCGTGGTGTATTGTGTTGTTCAATTACTGAAAATAACTACGGGCCAAATTCATTGACTCTTCCATAGGTGATATGGTAACCATAACAGGTCTGGAGAACCCCTCAACAGTTGAGGCATGACTAAAGTTACTCATCCTAGGGACTTTGAAGTGAATTGGTTTATATTTACACCAGAGGTAAATGAAGGAAGGGAGATTACATGGTAAGTCTTCTCCTTACTCCAGTAGTGTGCTCAAAAACCTGGTATTCCTGGCAGAGGAAGAGAGGAGAGTCAGCTGAAGAAAGCAGCTGCTGGTCACAGCTGCAAACCATTTTCTGGTCAGCAGAACCAGATTTCTTTGTTTAAAATGCATGTCATGAAGCATCTTCCATTCAGACATTACCTCTGACAGTGACTGATGATGAATAATTTGGGCAACTGCTTAAATGTAGATCGCAACTCTGTTGGGTTTGACCAGAAAGAACACAACTTTTATCCCTTGTGACCCTGTAAGGACAGGATACAATAATCTGATGGATCCTGGTGCATTCTTCATGATTAAATAATGAAATGAGCATGCAAAATAATAATATAAGTATTGGAGAACCTTATTGATATAATTCCATGCAGAAAATCCTTAATTCATAACAGTTCCTGTTTCCTTAAATAACTATTCTTGAAAGTTCCTGGTTTCCAAAAAAAAACCCATCCCAAAACCCCTCCAAAAATCCCCAGACAAAACCATACGTACATTTTCCAGATTATTATTGTAATCATTCTACTGAATTTAAAATTAAGTCAGAAGTGTCTCTGTGGGAAAAGTGCACTGAAAATAGCCTTGAATTTTACAGGACAGCTTTTGCACCTTTGGACAACATGGGGACTAGAAATGGAAGATGAGCTTTTTCAAAAATGCCTGTTGAATTGCAAAGTAGAGTTTGGGGAAATTAAACCTAAAACATCTTGAAAGTGCATGGGGTTACATAGAAAGAACCTCACACATTGATAATCAAGTTGTATTCAGGGAACCTCTTAGACTCCTAAAGAAAATAAGAAAAATGTACTTTTAAGTGGCAGCTGCAGAAGAGACTTTTCCTTTTTTTATTATTTTGTGTACCTCATTAATTTTGCCATTATCAGTGACATATCTGTCCAAATGAAACATAAAAATAATTATCATATAAAGAGTCTCTCCATGTTAGGGATATTTGTAATCCCAATGTAAGAGTACTAAAGCAGCAGCATTGAAAGTTACTTTGGAAGATGTGGAAATAAAATACTTATACTGAAGTACCAGCAGTCCCTTTCATAAAAGGCAGAAATATTAAAACCAGAAAGTAAAATGACTAGAAAGGAGACTATTTTAATAAAATTTGCTTACCTGTATTCATGAAGTATGGTGCTATAAGACATTAGAACACCGTAATTGGCTTTCGAACAGTATCCATGCAAAGGAGTTGTGAGGATTAAATATGTATAATAGTTAACTGTATGGTCTGCTTGATATTTAGAAGGGGTTTTCTGTGTTCTCTGTAACACAGCTGTTCCTCTTTAAGAGCACAAATGGTCTCAAATTAGCTTATGCTTATCTCTACTGCCATAACTAGATTGCCACCAGTTCATGAGCTGGCTAAATGAAAGTGTGTAAAACTGTAAACATTTTTTCTGTTATTTTTTTCTGTAAAATAGCTTAAAGAAGTAAAGTATGTACTAAAAAAAGATGACACTTAACAAAGTGGTAAAACAAAGGAGAACAAAGTGACTCCTCATAGTCTTTGAACCTCTGCTGGGCTGATGTATCAGCAGATAGTGTATACCTTTTCCTTTTTGTTTGTTTGTTTTTTGAGTGTACATTAGCCAGTCTTTGTATTCTTTCTCTTTCCATATTTGTGTCTAAACTTTCTGCAGTGACTCCATGTCATAAATCCTCCCTCAAATGAGGAGGGCTAAACACAGCTTAGAAGAGAGAGTGTCAAAATCCCTGCAATCGTCATGTCAAGATCAACGTACAATAATGAATAATATGACTAGTCATTTGTGTGCCTTTCTGGCACTCTGCATTTTGCAGTTTTTACTGTCGTAGTCTGCTGAATAGAGCTCAGTTTAAGTCCATACTTAGACCAAAGCCTCACTTGTTATGGGGTGCGTAGAAGAAGAAATAGATAAGCTGGGTGTCATTTTGTTCATAAATTGCCCAACCGAGGCCTGAAGCACTTGGCAGTCTTCATGTAATTAATTTATTTCCCATGAATTTCCATCTTCATTATACACAGAGAGATCCTCCATGACAGCAGCCTCCCATCCTGTTTTCATTAAGTGTCAGTCATCTCAATTGTTGGAGTACAAAGTCATAGGACCAAAGAACTGCTCTCCAAAGAGTGGAAATTGAAATAAGTCTTTATAGCTAGAATTTGGACTCTTTTGATAGGTATGATGTTCAGCTTGATAAATAATTAAAAATGTAATTTAAATAGCTTTACTTGAAAGGCAGAACAAATTTACATCAATACAATGGCTGAAATAGCTGTTACACTGTATATCGGCACCGTTAGCTTAATTATAACTATGTTATAGCTACATTAATTAAATTTTAACCTTCTTTTTTTTTATAATGTTAATTAGTATGCACTGAATTGAGTCTGTAGTTAAGAGTACAATGGAATGCCTAACTGCTTTTGCAATTTGTACATTTATATTTCATTTTGACTAATTAATGGAATTTATCTCTTTACAGAACCCATTTACAGAACCGTATATATCACTGCCTTTATTTTAACTGCATTCAAAAACTGCAAAAAAAGCATATAAAAGTGAAACAAAGTGCACAGTGGAGTCAATAGTGAAACAATTTTTCCATAAACAATCATAAGGCTGATAGTGAGAGTACTAAGTTGTCTCTGTAACCTTGAAACTGAGGCATACCTTTGAAGATCAGCCCACAGCTACCTATAAGATACATTGCTGGTAACCACTGTAATAAATAAGAACCAGATCCAGTCTCTGCGATAACCAGTCTCTCCTTCTGAAAACTACAGGTCCAGTTCAGGTGGGAGAAGGCAACAGCTTTTGTCCAAGATCATTCTCACTCATTCCAGCGTTTTGGTTTCTTTTTAGTGCTAGCAAAGGCTTTCTGACAGGAGTGCCTCATGCCACCTAAATGTAGCTTTCAGGGCTGTAATCAGATTTCAAGGGTTTCTTTCAATGCACAAAAGAAATGGATCAATGTAAAAGGCCTTAAAATTATCAGTGGAGGAACAACTTTGAATCAAAAACTTTGTTCACTCAAGGTTTAGTTTATTATCCTCAGTATCTTGCAAGTCTGGCAAGTTTCTTTCATTGATAGTACAAAACTGTAAGATGAACAGTCCAAACTTTTGGAACCCTCCAGGATTATTTGCACCAAAGTATCTCATTGTATAAATGGAGACCAAAGCACTTAGAAAGGGATGGAATACAATATCTTCCATGCTTCAAGTGCTAGACTGTGCTATTTTTTTGAGATTGCCATACACTTTATTGACTTTTTCTGAAAGAGTACTAGAAATGTAATTTTGCAACTTTAAAATTTTGTTCAATATATGAAGTTTTCTGGACATGTTCTTTAGGTTTCATCTGTTGCAGCTGTTCCATCTGAAAGGAAAAATTATATAGCAATTGAAAGCAGTGACTGAGCATAACAATGTAGTCTAAAAGTAAAGTCTTCACAAGGAAGGAGAAAACGTGTGTTCCATGTTAGTGCTATGTCTTAACTTTATCAGGGTATGAAACTGAAGTTACTAACAGAATTTAAAGATAACATTTACTTAGTCTTTTTATATTATGGACGAAAAGGCTGAAAGGGACTGGAATACCTACTTATTTCACAGAATGGTTAAGGTTGGGACTACCAGAGGTCATCTACTCCAATGTCCCTGATCAAGCAGTGTCACTTAGAGTACATTACTCAGGATTACGTCCAGACGGCTCTTGTGGAGTCTCCTTCCCTGGAGATATTCGGCCTCTCTTGGCAACCTATTATAACATTCAGGCATCCTCATAGAAAAGAAGTTCTTCCTCATGTTCAGGTTGAACTTCCTGTGCTTTAGTTTGTGCCTGTTCCCTCTCGTCCTGTTGCCTGGCACCACCGAGAAAAGTCTGTCCCTATCCCCTTGACACCCTCCTTCAGATGTGTATATACATTGTTCTTTCTCTCTTTGCTTATAAAACAAGCTGTTTTTTTTCTTTCTGTATGTCCTGTTTTTTATATGAATGACCTAATAAGAATGCCAGCATGATAATAAAAGTGCAGAAGACAAACATTTGTTTTTCTCTAGCTTGAGAAAAAAAAAATTGAGCATTTTCCTGCATGCTAATCTATATTTCAGAAAATATTAAACCCCCACTATTTCAAATTTGATTCTGATAACATCATATATGAAGATGTTTGTTAAGGGGGAAGAGGATCATAACTGGTTTAATGAATGGCACCAGAATTTTTTAAAAAGGGGAAAAACATTTACAATATATAATTTAGAGAAATGCATTTACAGTATATCATTTAGTGAAAATGCTTTCTGGTATCATGCCATCACTACTTGAAATGTTCATTTCATTGAGACCCGTGAAAATGAAAGCTGGGAGATTAACTGAATTTCAAGGAAAATCAATTTCCAGAGATGAGGGTAGTTTTCTGTTGTAAAATATGTAATATCATTAAGAATTAAGCTGTGTTTTTTCTTTCATCTATTTCTTCAGTATTCAAAAAAGCTTAGGGCCTGGATGAACAAAACTAAAGGATGATCTCCAGCTTTTTGATTTGGAAATCTACTCAGTGATATGGCTAGAGGGAAGAATAGGCATTGCATTGTACATACCAAAAATGTCTGAATAAAAGACCAGAATCCTTATACGGCTTTTTTTTTTTTTTTTTTTTTTTTTCTCTTCTGGTCAGATTTTTTTCTGCTTTGAGAGAAACAGAGATGGAAAAAAAAAAATATGTCCATGAGTTCTTTAATAAATACATTAGAATCTCTTTATTAATGGGAACTCTTTAAGTGTTCAAGGTCAGCACTAATGGATGCAGTTGCAAGATAAGGACCAAATTGAGGAAGAATATTAAATTATCTATTGTCTCTGTACTCTTCTTTTATGAAAGCTAAAGGTCAGTGAGTGGGATATTGTTTGTCTAAGGCTGTGTGCTCTACTGGCGGCACAACACTAAAATCGTATCTGTACAATTAGGACTGGGGACACAGTGTTTTCATTTCCTGTCTAATATAGTTCTAGCTAAAGAGCATTAGATGTCTGTTATTTTTTGCAGCCATGAATACTTATTTTTTGTTCTTCATGGTATGGACCCATTCCAGACTAGATGTTTCTATCCAGCTACAGGGTCAGCTACAGGCTTCATGCTGAGTAAATGTCCCTGAAATTGCCCCTGAGTGTGATTTGTTCTTCAAAGACAGCAGCTTCACTAAAAGAAAACCTTGTTATTATGCCTGAATCTTCCTAGCAAAACAAACTTCAGACACATCTCTCTGTGTACAGCAGAATCTAGATAGCATTTCACTGTGGATAGTGTTTCAGTATGTTCGTGTTCATTAAATAAAGAATCCATTGCTTCTGACAGGTTATGCAAAAAAATCAGCATTAATAAATCCATATTTTATGGTAAAGATAACCTTAAAAAAATCAATTTGATTTGATTTAGGTATGGCTGGAGGCTGAGCTGGCAAAATTCTGTATATACATTATTTCAAATAACCGATTAGTGGATATAAATTACTGAAGAAGTACACTTTGTTAACCCCTTTCCTGTATTATCTATTTCTTTTTTCCTAAGTCTCTGTCTAGAGAAATGTCTACAGGCAGTTAACTTCATTGGCAGCATCCAAACCTACAAAAATATTAAAATTTTTATCTTTGCCATTAAGAGCAGAGGACAATTCTAATTAGTCCCCAGCAAGGTTCATCATAATCATGTTAACTTACCTTTTGATAGCATTGAAATATATTTTGATGCTGTGGTTGATTATGTAAAATGCAGAATTTGTGTTTTCTTTTTTTCTCCAGACTCCTGAATCTTGTTAGCAGGAGATACATATTTGTATTTTCACTAGTACTGCTATTTGTAAATCCTGCATCTAACATATTTACTTTGTGTCTAAATGATTAATTGTGTATCTAGTTCTCTTAACCAGAAATATAGAAAACCATTAAGGGGAAAACCATTCTGTTACTCAGAACCTTTTACAACCCTTTTTCTTTCAAAGCTCAGATTTTTTATTAAGTATCTATCTCAATTTTGACAGGTCTTTTCTGTACACAGAAATCAGCATCATTGAATGTGGAATTAGATGTTGGAATAAATAGGATAGATTAGTGTCATTATGGGTAATGAGACACCCTTGCAATCAAGTTTGCTTCTTAGCACTGAATGTAATTTCAAGCAATGCTGTGCAGCTACCAAGTGATGGCCAAAGTCTCTTAAATCAGGATCATTTTATATTTTTTCCTGTATTGTCTTTTAATGTACTAGCCTTTAATATTCTTCATTTTGTTTTACTCTTGTTCAGAGAATGCATGCATTCATATATGTGCTCACAGGTGCATAAAGAATACACAGCAACATTTCCTTCTCTCTCAACTATCACCCCTTCATTATTGAATGTGATGCAGGCAGTATGGTTTTGAAATGTCTCCTTAGAGCAGGATCTACCAAAGAGGTAAGGGAGGCAAACCTGGCAAGAATCAATTCTCATAGATCTGTCCTCCTGCGTTGATCTGTTCATCTTCATACACACACTGCTAGAATAGTGACACATGGGTGGCAGTGCTAACCTGGAAGGGACAAGAAGCATGGACTGTGTGTTTGAGGTTCTGTGGTAAGTAATCACAGTGAAGAGATTCAAACTCTTTTACCTATGGAGTTTGAGGGTAAGTGGTTTTGTTTGGGAGACTCTGTAATCCCAAGGTTGAAACCCAGGGCTGTGTGTTTTTTAAACAACATTCAAGGTTTTGCTTTTTCTTTAAACAACATTCAAGGTTTTGCTTTTTCTTTAAACAGGTCTGAAATGGATATATTGTCTGCCAGCTCTGAAGGCATTCTCATTGGCTATTGTCCACAGCAAGATGCCTTGGATGAATTTTTAACGGGTTGGGAGCATCTTTATTATTACTGCACACTGCGTGGAATTCCAAAACATGATATCCATAAGGTACCTTCCCAGAAGAGATTTGCAGGAGGAGCTGAAGCCAGGTTGGGCTGTGGAGTTTGTAAAACAGTTGTACTGTTTTTTTACATGAGGGAATATCTAATATTTCATCTTAGCAGCTTTAGTAATAAGATTTTTCATTACAGCTACTTTATTTAAACAATATGGGTTTTTTTTTTCTGTCTGTTATGCCAGGTTCAAAGTGCAGTAATATCACAGAGGATAGTAAAACAACACCAATTCAAACGATATATCAACTCTTAAGGAGTCTGTGAATGGTTCAACATCTTCATTATCACACTTGGAGAAGTGGGAGGGAACACTACATGTTTGGATCATGCATCTCTGAAAAACTCTTCAGAGATGGGATTTAACTGTGAAGGAATTAAAAATTGTTGGATGATTATATAGACTAAACATCTGGGTACTGAGGTGGCAGCTGTCAACACACTACTAGTAAATGTCTTAAACATCACAAGATGATTGCTGCATTCAAACCACCTGCTAGAAGCAGTCCCTAGAATATTCCAGCTACCATACAAGGCCTAGGGTTGTCCAAGGAGAAGAGGCCAAACCCATGTCAGAAAATGCTTTAAGAGCTTCCTAGCACAGATGATGACAATATCTGGGAATGTCACTGAAGGGTTTTGAATTTACAGATACAGATGTATCTGTGCTGACTAGCAAACTGTTCTTTTTCTGTTATGAGGCAATCAGTCAGCCAATTCCAAAATTTAAGTACCAAATGGATATAGTGTAAAATGTGGGTTTTTGCTGTGTCTGCAGATGGGAATTTTCTCATCTGACCTGGACTTGAGCAGCTCAGTCTCTTGTGCTTAATTGCATCTCTACTAACATGAGAATACTGGAGTGTGATACGAAAACAGTGTCTGTCATTCCCGCTGTATAAATTGGTTCTATGCAATTACTATAGCTCTAGAATTGTTGTCATAACCTCCAGAATGCCATCTGTTGTTTTCCTTTTTCCAGAAGCAAAACTACATGTGACTAAAATACCTGTTTTTTCTACCTATCCAGCATTTTCCTGGATATTGCCTCAGGGTCCACTAAGTGTTTTACAGACAGCTGCTTGCCTGTATTTGAGAGGGCCACCTTCCGATTCTTTGTAGCTTTATTTCCTCAGCAGCTAGGTTCTGCTTCAGAAAAAGGTATGATTCCTGCAACCAGACATTGAGTATTCAGAAGTAACTGCCATGATACTCCAATAACAGCATCAGGACAGGCAGCATTTTGATTTTTTCCTGTGTTAAGCTGATCACTTGGTTGTTTCTGGATGAGAGACTAGGGGAAATAAAAAATTCTTACCAATCTTCTACCCTTCTCTTGGGCAGTATCCTGCCTGGCTGGACTTTTAACTGTTTGAACACTACATTTCTTGCAGGCTGCTTAGAAATCATGATACAGTCTCTTGTTCAGTTGTTTGCTCTTCATAGTTCATCCGTGATAGCAAAGTACTGAAAACTTGAGTATGTTTCACTTGATCTAAAAGATATATATTAAGGGATAATTGTTATTGCATTAAACCTTCAACTCTGATTACCTGTTTTCTCCATGAACTGACAGCTCCTCTAACAGCTGGGCTAAAAGCTTATCATAACTAGCACTTATCATAGCACTTTAATAGACACAAAGGTGGCAACATCTTCTCTAGAGCTTTGTAGTCATTCAAAAAGATGCTGTTAAGTACCCATGTATCTTACAGATGTTTTGAATGCTGTCTTAAAAGTAATTTAAAATTAAAATTTGATTGTTTAATTATGCAGCAGTGCTCTTAAAGCATTCTAAACATGATTTTTAACCTTTTTTTTTTCATTTTTGTAACAAAAGACAATATATTTTTGTAATGCACATGTCCAAATGGTACACCATATACTATAAATGAAGTAGTTTCTAAGGCATCCTAATAATGGAAATTTCATACGCACCTGAATGATAGAAGTACATAGTTCTAATTAAATTTTGTGGGACTCTCTTAACTTGCATACTTTGAGTCATATACATATCCAGACTATAAATTAAGCATATTCCCCATTTGTGAATAGGCTGAGGCACATAAACCCAGGCAGATGGTGATTGTCTGAGAGCTATGGAGATATGACATTATGATGTAGACTAAGAAGGACTTTCCCACAGCAAAAATAATTGCTTCAGCCTTGCTGGAAGACTTACTTTTGTAACTGACTTGAATTTGCCAAGAAGGGTGTCTTTGAGTGAGAGACAAGTAGGGCTTTTAGTGCTGTGCTAACTTTCTGCCTCCTGGAGCTGCAGACTGTTGGCTATTGTTTTATTTTAGTACTGGCAGCTGTGAGGAAAAGCTGTTCAGGTGGCACTGGCAGACACCTTCTTATTGGTAATACCTCATTTTCAGACAACTGGAGATAGTAGCTTTGAGAAGTGTGAACTGATCTATGCATTACAGTGGACTCTTAATGCTTTAATCTTACACTCTGCAAGCCCTGTCAACACCAGGTAGCAGAGGAGAATGTGTGTGTGCGTGTGCACATGAATCCCGCTGTCATTGCTTGATTTCTAACTCCTTCGGTCAATTAGCCTCCAATTAGCAACTGTTTTGGAGGATGAGAAGCAGGACCAGGAGCTATGTGGAACCTTGAGAATGGAGAGACCTGTAGTGTGCTTACAGGCCTGGATTTCTTACAAAAACTGTCCCATGCAGCACTGAGCTTTTCTCACGTGCCAGGGAAGTTTTCCAGATTGCAGGAAGCATGACCATACCAACAGATTTCTGTGCTGTGCCTGCAGGGTGTCTCTCTGCATGTGTGCATGTAAATGAACACTACAGCAAATGCTGCCTCCTGTCTGTATTTGGTGAGGAGCCACAAAGGTAACCTGGCTTCCTATAGTTTCTCTCTAGATAACGTTGGAATAGCACACTCTCTGAAATATCTGGCATTCATAAAACCCATTTCAAATGCAGAACTATTTAGGAATAATTGGTGTACATAAGAGCTTCCACTTTATGTTCAGATCCAGCTATCCTCTGGGCAATTAGCAAACAGCTACTGCCATGGCAGTTCTCAAAACCATTTAGGGAACCGTTCCTCAAGTGGTGTGGTAATTCACGTACGAGTTCTGCTTCAAGTGGATCGAATTGATTCTGTGTTATTTAGAGATGAGTTATGTTACTGTGGCGCACTGAGAGAAGGTAAATATTAGTCTTATTGATTATTCTGCACCTAAGATGATCTAGGTGTAGGCTTAGACTATTTTTTGCAGGCAGCCTCCTGTGCGTTATTTTCATATTTGTGATATAGAGACCGTTCTTTCAGTTATCTTAACTTTTTGTCTGTATAGATTACAGAGCAGACTTTATTGCCGTATGTTTGCAATCAAGGCATCAAAGGGCTCCTGCAAATTATATTTAGCTTCTCTGGTTTACCTTCATCAAAAGCTGAAATGCAGCTATCTCAGAGGAAAATAAATGTTTTTGTCAGCGGGCCTTTCTGACTGTGGCACTGCTGTCGAGTGCTGAACAGCTGCTGTGTTTCAACTCGGAGATGGCTGGTGCCTGGAGACAGTGTGCATTTTAGTTGCCTATAAAGAAAATAAAGCCTGGGAATGCTTTGGAATAGCATCTGTATGGAAATCTAAGCTGTTATTTTCTCATACCCTCCTGCCTATAATAAGGCACTCAAAGCCTACCTCTGAACATTTACCAGGTGAGTGTTTACGTTAACGTGCACACACACATAAATTCTAGAGAGTAGGTTTTGATGTGGAAAGAAACATACATTCACTTTGGTTTTTAATAAATTGGCAAGGAGGTAGGTGACTTACAGGATGTGTTGTTGTTAAGTTGTCTATTGAAGCACTAACTTCAAAGATCAAATCCTTTTCTAGACAGATTCATCATCAGCACGAATTA